AGGCAGGGGAGGGGGCAGGCTTTCCGCAGGGGTCTCGTCTTTGTGTGTGGGGTGGGAGAAAGTCGGGGAAGAGGAAGAAGAGGGATGTTGCAAGGATCAAGCAGACTCCAGGCGGCTCTGGAACGTCTGGGTGCTGATGGGGAGGGAGGAGGGGTCAAGCTGCAGGCAAGCTGCAGGTCCTGTTTATGGATGGCCTCTACCAGGGGTAGATCCTGCTGCCAGCTGGCTCTAGGCAGGTGGTGGAGCTACGCATGCGGCACAGGGGGGACGGCACATGCGGGCATGCCACAGACACGGTGCTTCCCTGGGGACCAGGGTGCTCCAGAGCCTACCTGGGATGTGGAAATGCTTGGGCGCTTGGTATGAGGTTGGAGTGGAGGACCTCACATCTAACTGGCTATAGTAGGGGGAGCTGCGCCCGCTCTCGGTGCCTATGCGGTGCCGAGCAGAAGCAGCCAAAAATGACCAAGAGAGAGAACAAGAGGCAGAAGAAAACGGGTGTTAAATGCAGCGGTGTTAGAAGAGCAGGGGGTGACCCACGTGGTGGGGGTGACAGAGACGTGCGCCAGGCCATGGTTCAGGACGGGGCGTGATGGAGCAGGGCAAGATTTCCTGCATCTCTGGAGGAAGGTGGGATGCAGAGGAAACCCCGTGTGCAGGTGCTGTTCCAGGGCAGCAGCTTGCCCTGCCGCTGGCGAGAGGAAAGCCGAGCGTGCTGCGGAGGCGAATGGTGACAGGCCCTTGGCAGTGCAGTGTGGGGGTAGCTTGGGGAATGCGGGACCTCTGGAATTACTGACCTCGGATTTTCCCAGTTGTTCTTCCCCAGCTCCGAAGGACAGGAGACATGACACAGACACATTCTGCTTCCCCGTGACACGCTCCAGGCCATGCACATGTGTGTGTGTGTAAGGACCCCCCTGGCAGCACTGGCTGGGCACAAGCACTCTTGTGCACATCCCTCCCAGAGCTACGAAGCCAGCCTAGGAGTCTTCACTGGAGCTGGGGGCCACCTCTCTCCCCACCCCATCATCCATGAGCCCCAGCTCAGGTCTGAGCCAGGACAAAGCCCCCTCAGCCTCTCCTTGCTGCTCACAAGAGTCAGAGGAACCAGGGAATGGACACAGCAGAGTGGATCACTGCCCCACAGCTCCTGGCGCTGTCAGCCCCCACGGACCCTGCCAGGCCTCCTGCCTGCTTGCCAGAGGAGGGACCACCAAGGTCCTCTGGGAGAAGCAGGAGACAGTATGGTGATCCCCGCTCCACTTGAGGGTCTGAGCTTAGCCCAGCCTGGGGTTGCAGCTGAAATCCTCACCTGAGCGGTAGAAATGGTGGGGGGACCTCGGGATGGTGGGGGACATGCCCTGGCGGCTGTGGGTGGTGGAGTCGATGTAGCCAGGGCTGGAGGCTCGCCTCTGCTGCGTGTCAAAGCTCTCGTAGATGTCCTGGGGACGGGGAGAGACATGGAGAGAAGCAGGGTTAGATGGCAGGATGAGGGACAAGGCAGGTCAGTGCCTTGGCAGCCCTGCAGGGACGTGTCCTACAGACGGGGGTCCCCATGCTTGTGGCAGCCCGGGAGGGGTTGTCAGGCTGCTCAGTCTCCCCACTACCAAAGTGCAGGCAGTGAAGCCCAGGGTTTGGGACCAGGTGACAGTGTCCAGCCAGATGCTTTCATCCCCTTGCCTGGAGATCGTCCTCTTCCCCTGTGCTTCTTCCCAATTACAGGCATCCCTGTCCATGGGGCAGAAGCTGCACCCTGGGTCCACTCTGCCAGACAAGGTTTGCATGCCCAAAGGACAGGACCCTCCTGGACAGGGTCTCCCCATCTCAGGGCAGTACCCGGGCAGGGGGACGTTCAGCAGAGCCCCAGTGGTCCCTGGGCAGAGGGATGTCCTGTGGCAGCAGCAGGTGACAGACCCTCCCAATGCCTGCCAGGGGCATTACCTGTGAGTACGGGGAGAGGGTCCCCAGGGACTGGAGGCAGCAGGAGGCAAAGGGAGGAGACAGAAAGAGAGAAAGACAGCACACAGTTAAGGAGAGCAGTGACAGAGCAGGGTCCCACAGCAGCTCATTTTCCCCACGTTACAGCCTCATCACAGCCACAAGGCAGCGAGGGTGGTGGGTGGCACAGCTGGAGCTGAACCATGGCAGGACGCGGGGCAGGGAGCTCCTTGGCCAGGAGGGCAGCTAGCGTGAGGATGGCACCTCCTGAATGGGCAGCCTGCACCCCTCTTCAGAGACCTCGGTGGAGCAGCTGCGACACGGGAAGGCAGCTGCTGGCCCGCGGTGCCCCATGGTGGGCCACGGCCATGCTGCCTGCACCATCACCGCGTGGGCTGGTGGACACCAGGCTTGTGACAAACCTTGGGACTGGAGATGTAAGAGATGCTGCTGCTGGCCGTTACAAAATCCTCTTCCAGGACCATTTCAGGTCCCCCATCTCTGTGTGAGCTCCTTAGACCCTCTTCTTCCTCAGACTTACTGAAATCATCCAGCAGCCCCAGCCTTCCTGGGAAGCAGGGCAGGGCAGTCCTGTGCCACATGCTGTGTGGGCATCAGCTCATCACACGCTTGCAAAAAAGCACTGACCAAGCCCCCTTCCCCCAGCTGCAGAGCTGGCACCCAACAGCCCTGTCACACTCCAGAGATGCCATGCTGGGGCTGGGTGGCCAGAAGGATTGCTTGCCAGGGGCCAGGCTTTGGGCTGAGCCTGCTGGACATCTGTCCCTCCACCACGGAGGGATGCACGTGTGCTGCATGCCCTCCTCCTCTCCTGCCAAGGCTGCATCGGGTGAGCTCCCTGCCACATCACTCCCGAGGGTGACGTCTCCTCCCGTGCAGCGCTGTCTGTCCCTGCACATCGGGTCTGCAGCGCAGGAAGGGCGCTGCCATCAGCTGATGAGGTCACTGGTTTCTTTCTTACTCTACAGCAGCAGCACCAAGATTTCCCTTCCAGCCCAGGCACTCTTCCCAGTGACGGAGAGCCTCCAGGAGAGGTCTTACCCCCACTCCTGCCTCTCTGCGCTATTCCCACCGGAGCGAGCAAACCCACATGCAGTTTTCCCCATCGCCCCGAATCGGGGCCTGGCTCCCTGCGCAGCCCAGCATTGGGCGTATCGAGACTCAGTACCTCCCCATAGCTATATCTCTCCAGCATCTCATCCGACGTGTATCTGTGGTAGGGCTCGTAGGAAATGAGGTCAGGACGCTGCACTTCGTAGATGGCTTTAATCTTGGGAAGAGCTGCCAGGTCTTTGTAATTAAGGATCTCATTATCCACTTTAGCCTAGGGAGAAGGAGAGACAGAGAGACGGAAAGGAAGAGGAGGAGAGAAGGAAGGGGAGGCTGGAGCGCACAGCGCAGAGCCAGCACAGAGCAGACAGAGCCCACCATCATCCCAGCAGCGGGAGGAGGTAAGAGGAAGAGATGCCTGAGAGGCACAGCAGGAAGGGGCAGAGGAGCTGGGAGGGTGGCACCGTGCCCCTCTGAGTGCACCTGGTCTGTGCCAGTGGCACTGGCAGCACGGCATGCCACTGGGGCAAGGGGGCACGGCTTGTCTGTGCTGTCCTCAAAAGCTGTGCTTGTCCCTGGGGGACAGTTCCTGCCCGGGAACTGTTGCTCCCTTCCCTGGGGCCGGAGCATCTGTCCTGCCTCGCACGTCAGACGAGGGGCAGAACTGTACTTACGCAGATGACGCGGTTTGGGGAGCCGATACTGGACCCGGGAGGTGAGATGGAGGTTTCTGACGTCCTTCTATGCTGTGGAGGCAGAAAAGCAGAGGACAGGTGAGAGCACGGTGAGGAGGGATCCCTGAGCAAGCACAATGCTTGCGAGCAAATAATTGGTTTTGGGGCTGAATTTCACTCAAGGCCCAGTTCCTCTGCCCTTTCATCTGCTTGCTGCTGGTGCCCATGGCCATCACAGGCTGCCCTGCCATCCAGCTTTGTGCCCTGGCCTCCCTCGGGGCCAGATCTGGAATCAGGTGAGTAGTCTGGCAAGACCCAGTGGGCAGCTGTCCACCTGGCCAGCCAGGCACAGAGAGGGAGCAACAGCTCGAGGGGCGTTAGGGGTTGGTGAGAGCACTGCTGTGCCCCCTCTCCAGCTGGTGCCAGCCAGGAGGCAAGTCCCCACTGGTCCCCACTAACAGCCTTGGCCACAGCTCACCTGGGCAGCAGGGACAGAGCTCATGCCAGCCTTGGGAAGCCACCCCAGGCTTGGACACTGCCACAACAGTTCACCTCCAACGGGGACTCAGAGGCAACATCACCTGGGATGTGCCACCTCTCGGTGATGCCCCTCACCCTGCCACCTACCTTTAGCTTCTTCTCTGCTCTGGCTGCCTGCTTGCAGATGGGGTGCCAAACTTCAGAGCCTGCAATGCAGCAAAGGGAAAGCGTTTTGGCTCCATGCACAGCTCACCCCTGCTGCTAGGGATCGTCCAGCTCCCTCTGCTATGGGGGGTTCCCGTCTTGTCCCCGCCACTTCCAGCACTGACCTGCAGCCCGTGGGGACATGTCAGTGCTCTCCCTAGCAGCAAAGCCACCCAGGTGTGCCCTGGGATGGATGCTGGGCACACCCATCCTGCTGCCCACAACAGGGCCCTGCTGGGACCCCCACTCCGGCTCTCTCAGTGCACAATTTCCCCTTTGCCACCCACGGGGTCATTAGTGACTCAGGGTGACAGGCAAGCACAAGTTACTGAGAGAAAACAAACCCTCCCTCTGTGCTGGAAATAGCCCCTAATGGTAGCTCCAGGAAGGGATGAGCTCCTGCAAACCTAAATCACCCGCTGTGCCATGTGAAAGCTCTACCCCTCCCGTGCTGCTTGCAGTGTAACCTGGATGGTTGGACTAGGGGGTGAGGGGGAAGGGGTCCTGAGCCACCCTCCCCTGGGGCTGGGGTGAGTGGGGGGCCAGGCACCCTGCGCCCATTCCAGCCTTTGTTCGCTGGGCACAGGCCAGGGACACATCCAGGCACGAGCGGCGGCACTTCCCAGCTATGCAAGGAGACTCACAGGGAGCAAAAAGCTGCTGACGGGGAACTAAGTCTCCTCCTGCTCAGTGGCAGGGAAGGTTTCATGGAGAGAAACAACTGCCGTGCAGCCCAGGAAGAGCGCAGGGGCTGGAGGGCGGCAGAGAAGGGGTCTCTGGCATTGCTGCATAGAGGGACTCTTCTGGCCATAAGGACCTGAACCCCAAACGTCCCTGCAGCCAGCACACCTCCACACAGCCACGCTGGCCCACACCCCAATGCAGGGCAGGGGAGTACCTCCTCGCCGCAGCGGGATCCCTACCTGTGAGGTACATCTCCTCTCCTTCTGTGAACATCTGGTGGCAGCGGACACATCTGGCACAGGTGGGGTGGTAGTGCTTTCCTCCCGCCTGCAAGGGTGAGCAGAGAAGAGGGGCCCTGAGCAAGGCAGGACATGGTGTCCTGCTCGCAGCCCTGGCATCACTTGCTGCTGCAGACAATGACAAGGAGGCAAAACTGCCCAGGGCGGCCTCGGAGACCATCACAGCACACAGAGAAAACCAGAGAGCACTTCATCACTAATGCTTCTGACCTGCTGGACTACGAGTCAGACTGGGAACCTTCTGCTGTCCTTCAACTGTCCAACACACAGAAAACCAGAGCCAGGAGGTCCCAAACCCCGAAGAAAGGAATCCCATCAAACCTCACCCCTAGTAAATTGTCCTTACACTCTGGAAATAACTGAGACCCTCCACAGCAACACTCAGCCAAGCAGCCATGCTTTGCACCAGCTCCTTCCCTCTATGGCTTCAAAGGGAAACAGCAAATTTGGCCCAGGATGTCACAGCAGGGAAACAGTAAAGGGAGAAAGGCCTCAAAGATAAACCTCAAAAACAAACCTCGCAAAGCACAGACTTCTTGCTGTCAGACCCTCCCTAGCTACCACTGCCAGCCCCTCTCCCTCAAGAAACTTTTCTCCTTCTGTGAAGCCATGCCCAAACTCCAGCACTAGTGATGTGCTATTCCCCAGCTAAGTGGGAGCTGGGCTACTCCCCTTGCTCTTTGACAGGGATAATAGCTTTAATTAGTAGCTTGTTTCCACTCAAAGTGTCTGCTAGCATTTCAATTATAGGCTCATTTTCTGGGCTGGCTGCTGGGAGGCAGGAGGAACCTGGGCTGCACTGTTAGAGCTCGACCCCAAAGGACATTTTACTCCCATAATAATCCAAGAGAAGCGGAAGGATAATTTAAGGTGGCAGAGGGAAGATGAAGCTCTCGCTGACAAGGAAGGCAGTTATGATAGAGGGGGCTGGAGCCAGTTTGAAATAGGGAGGATCAACAGGAAAATTTACTGTGAGGATAACTGAGAATCTGCCCCTTGATTGCCATAAAAATCAACCTGGAATTCAATGCCCTTGGGTGGCAGCTGGCAGCCAGTGGCTTTTCCCCTCCAGTTTATGCCAAAAACGCGTGGAAGGTCTTAGGGCAGGCAGGCGGAACGAGCAGGAAAATTTGGGCTCCTCTTCCTTTCATTGCAGGGCACCCCAATCCAGGGAGGGGACAGCCCTGCGCCCCAGGCATCCCTGTGCCAACTGCCAGCAGCACAACGTACTCCTGGGCTGGCCCAAGTGAGCCCATAGCCCAAACATCCCCAGTTCACACCCAAAAGCTCGCTAACATGGCAGAAAAGTCACTGTGGCTTGCACTGAACACTTCACCAGCCTGAACAGACACACCGGCTGGTGCCAGGCTATACGGATCCTAAACCTATTTTACCCCTAGAAGCGTCATCTGGAGCCCCCAGTATCGCTGATGTGCCAACGGCCTCGCCGTGTCTCATTGCCCATTGCTGCAGGACAGCCAGGTCCTCCTGCTCTGCCCGAGCCCCCATGCACGAAGCCCTGCCTGGGCAGCTGCCCGCCGCAGCACTGCACCATCACCCCTCTGTGGCACGCACCCACCAGCCAATGCTGTGCACCCACAGCAGGCACACTGAGCTGCATCAGTTGGAGGAGACGGCCATGAACAGAGGGAAAAAGAGATGAAAAATCACCCAGCTCCTACACACTTCAGGCCAGTGTGCCTGCAGTTCCCGTTGCTTGTGTTTCCAGCTGGCTAGAGACAGCTAATGCAGGGGACACAGGACCCTAATGACTGATGCGTCCCCTTCCCCAGTCCCTCTCTGAATCTGGAATGGGTTTGGTGCTCTTGGACCCTCTTAGTACCCCCAAAGGCTTGCTGTGCTAACAGTAAGGGAAAAAGAAATATATATCCATCTGTTCCTACCTAGGCTATACGAGCTGCTGTCACAGGTCAGAGTGTGCCAAAAGTGGATGTTTCACAGATCGGGGTGTGGATGTGGAGGGGGGCTGGCTGCTCCCCCAGCCCGATCCCAACGCAGACCTTCCCCAAAAAACACTCAATGCCCTCTACTCCTCCTCGAGGAGCAGTGCTCCAAAACATGCACAAACCTTTTTCCTTTTATACTGGTTAGTATCACAGCTGGAAAAGGCTGGTAGGGGCTGCGAGGGAAGAGACCTGCTCGTTATCACTTGAGGTCCCTTGAAGACTCATTAATCATCCAAGCCTGGCTGCGCAGCTCGGAGCAGTTTGAAAGCCCGGAGGCTGTCGGGATGGCACGAGAAGGCTTCTTAAGGCCTAAAATTATTTAAAGGCGCCCTTTCCATTTCACGCTCTACTGGAGAAGACAATTAAAGCTGGTGGTTTTACTGATCATTCAATATCACCAGCAGGCGCATGCCCAGGGAGGGTGGGGAGCGCTCAGCCCTGTCCGCGGGGAGGCGAGGGGGGCCCGCAGCACCCACAGCTTCCGTGGGCTCACCTGGCACAGCCCTCTGGCACCCAAACCCTATGCTCCTCTCAGCTCTGTGACAGCACCTGCAAGGAGGTGGCACCTCAGCTCTGCCTGTGGGGACCCCAGCACCAAGGCACATTGCTTCCAGCCCGTGCAGCCCCATTGCATAAGGAGGGCTCCCATGCCCGAGAGGCGAGGTGCTGATGTGACATGGCTGCTGACCGGAGCACCTCCTGGGATTCACCCAACTTCTTCCCACAGCCTGGCATGGGCAGGCAGAGGTGGCAGGCCCCTCCAGCCAGGAAGAGCCAATGCTGGGAGCATAGCTGGGGATGGAGGGCACTAGGGAAGGCAGAGAGAACTAGAGCTACTGCCAGGAGAAGAGCCAGGGGAGACGGAGGTGAGGGAGAGCAGTCCTGACTCCACTGCGGTTGCACCAAGCGAGGAAAACCCTGAGAGCAGTGCGACAAGTGGCTCAGGGGCAGTGGTGCCCAATGGTGCCAGCCAGGCTGGCAGCACAGCCCCCGAGCTGGGGTCACAGGTTCCCTCTGGATCTTATCACCCACATTCACACACTGAATGTCCCACAGAATCATAGAACCGTTTGGGTTGGAAGGGACCATAAAGATCATCTAGTTCCACCCCCCCTGCCATGGGCAGGAACACCCTCCACTGCCCAGAGCCTCATCCAACCTGGCCTTGAACGCTTCCAGGGATGGGGCAGCTACAACTCCTCTGGGCAACCTGTTTCAGTGCCTCACCACCCTCATTGTAAAAAAATTTCTTCCTTATATTGAAGTGAAATCTGCCCTCTTTCAGTTTAAAGCAGTTGACGCTTGTCCTGTCACTACACACCCTTGTAAAGTGTCCTACCATGTAACACCCAGCCTGCCTGTCCTGCTGGGGTGGCTGAGGATGCTCTGTCCTGGCCTGGAGTTGTTGGGGATCGGATTGCCTGGGGGAGCAGTGCCAGGGATTCCATGTCAGAGCAGCGTCTGGCTTTGCCCTGCTCCATTCAGACGTTTGCTGATCGAGTGGCCCCATGATG